TGTTTATGTTAAAAAAATAAAAAGTAAGATATATATATATATATATATAAACAATTGCGTCTCATGTTTGTCTTTCTAGATGTGCCATGAAACACTCATCCGTAAGATCACTTCACAGTTGGGGCACTAGTACACTGTTGACTTTACTCATGTATGATTCATTACAGTACACTGTTTTGTGGATTTTAAATTGTTTTGTTAGAGGTATTCTTATAGGGAAATGTCACTCTGTTTCCAATCAATCAAAATGTAATTAAAATCCAAAAGTAATGTGGAGTTTGTAGCAATTAAGAAACTTGTAATATTTTTAGCTGTTATTTGCCAAAATTAATTGACTTGAGAGGAAATGTTCTCACTCCAGGTCTCAGATGCTCCTGTACTGAAGGAATTGTAAGTACCCTTACACAACAACCAGGCCTAATAATGGATAAGAATGTTTACGAAAGTGGAACAGAAAAATTATGCTACATTTTAAATTATTGTGACTGTAAAATTATTAAATCAGCTACAGTATTTGATGGGTTTTAACATTATTTTCACTCTCTTGTATGCAATTTAATCACAAGAGGTGATGGATAAACAACCCTTTTGAGGGCCCAGTGAAGTAGAAGAAGTGAAAATGTCTTAGTGTTTTTGGAGGTGAAATTGGTTGTTGCGTATTTAATGTGGTCATTATATATTTTTTTAATTAGCTACCAGTAGTTATTTATGGATGTGTAAGTAGCAAAGTCCTGTTGACTTTTAATCTACTATGAAAATTCCCAAATGGTGTCATTCTCAGCCACTTGAGAACATATAAAATGTTGAAGATATCCGTCTTCTGGGTTATTGCGCCGTGTAGTCTGGTCGATGTTAACCAGCGTTTCAGAGGTCATACTGCCTCCGTCATCGCCCTGATGACGGAGGCAGTATGACCTCTGAAATGTTGGTTAACATCGACCAGCCTACACAGCGCAACAACCCAGAAGACGGATATCTTCATACTCACCGCTGTGAGAACCTCAAGTCTTACATGTAAAATATTAATAGACATTACAGGTAATTTATGTGAAGTAACCGTCAGTCATTATAATTCATCATTGAGTTTCAGCTTATAGGAATAATACTAAAGTGTTAAGACTTGAGGTTCTCACAGCGGTGAGTATGAAGATATCCGTCTTCATACTCACCGCTGTGAGAACCTCAAGTCTTACATATAAAATGTTCATAGACATTACAGGTAATTTATGTGAAGTAACCGTCAGTCATTATAATTCATCATTGAGTTTCAGCTTATAGGAATAATACTAAAGTGTTACTTTGTGTTAATAATTTGTAGCAGTGTACTTGTGGCAGAGAAAGTGAGAATACATATTTTAACTTCCAGCTTGTGTTAAAGGCGTGTCAGTTAAATAATTTTGCGTGTTTTGTTAATAGGAATCAGCATCACGAAGTTCAAGTATGTCTGTAGTAAACAAGTTCCTGGATCGACCAGGTGATTTAAATAAAAGATTGCGCTCTTCAACAGTCTCACAATCTGCTGCTGAAAATATTGAGTTGGTACAGTTTACTGAAATGGAATTAAATTTTCAGATGGGAGGTATGTGTCTCAGGTTGTTTCTTATTACAACTTTAATTATGTGAACAGAATGTAGTATGACTCAAAATGGAAGGAAATAGTTATTAAGCCCCATTTTAACCGGTCAAGTGTGTATATGATGTCTGTACCTTATCTAGAACTGTGCCACATGAAATTTTTGGCATTTCTGGTCTTGTGTAGCTTATACATTAGACCCTCCAATTGCTTGCTAGTGAACATTCTAGCAGGGTCTAGCGCAGTGGTATTCAACCTATTTTGTTCGCGTACCCCCAGATATAATTTCTCTTTAACTTTGTACCCCCAAAGTTGTTGGTGTATAATTCAAGTTATACATAGTATATAATCTACATCTAATATAAATTAAATAAATTACATCCAAAATGATGTATCAAATCTGGCCCTGATTATTCAGTGCTGATCATAAAATAATTAAAAATAATTAAATTTCACGTACCCCCTAAGATGTCTTCGCGTACCCCAGGTTGAATACCACTGGTCTAGCGTAAGGTATGTTTGCAAGATAATAAATTGTGATATTTCTGAGATAATGTAGTGGTGGACTGTAGTACTGATAGTAACGTGAATGTGGATACCTTACGTTATTTATTGGATAACTAAGAAGAAAAACTGGAGGCTTCAAGTTAGTTACACTACTTTTTGATGTGCTGTGTGTAACTTAACTGCAAACAACATAATAGGAGTGATATATTCATATATTTCGCTGCTGTCTGTGTAAGCCTGGCAGGACTGAGCTTTGACTGAGGGAGGGGATAATTAGTTACAGAATGTATTATGTAGTTGGAGGAAGCATTATTTGCTTCTGATAATTCAAATGTTTACATGCTGTGCTCAGTGTGATGGCTGAACTAAAATGATATTAATGCTATAACACGGCAGATACTGGGACCACCTCCTTTCCTTTCGTCACACCGTGTAATGAAGACATTTGGAAATGTTTGCTTGTTTCATTGTGGATTGTGTCTGTAAGCTAGTGAATGGGACTTAAAAACTTGTTGTATTAGATTGTTGAGCTCTAAGCAAAGATACGTCTGTGTAAGGTCAGCTGCTTATCAGAGAGTGGAGTAGGAAGATAGTAAGGATTTTCTTCAATGTTGTTCATCATTTTGAATATGAAAGTCAAAATACTATCTGCTGTTCTTTGTGATGGAGACCAGTGGTGTTATATCTAGCTAGGAGTATAGTGTACATACGTAGGTGTTGGTTTGACTTGACATCTTCACACATTACATCTGTCAAGCCAACTTCCATCAAGTCAGTGCATTTATTCTCACATGTGTGAATGGAAAGCATCTTTGCTTAGGAAGATCTTAAAAAATGAGAAGGGATTCTACTTTGTATAATACTAGTAACAAAATAATATTAACACTAATGTTATCAAATATTTGTTCTGAGTTATGCGTTTCATCAAATTCATTAATTTTATTAATGCAGACTTGAAGGTAAGCATCTATCAGGCGAGTCAAGCAGACAAACTACTGGATTTTAAACTTCTTCGTCTTGAGGTGGAAATGGTGCAGAAGACATACAATATGACAGTTATGTTGCGTATTGGAGGCATCTCTCTTATTCACTTGGATGCAGTTCGTTCTATCCCCTTGTTGAACACACCAATGGCTGCTGGTGACTCAAAGTACCTGTTTACAGTTCTCTATGTGGATGTAAGTAGTAACTTCTCTGTAGGAATTGACGAGAAACTAGAATTTTTAACCAAAATTCATAACAAAGATAGTAAATATAACAGTAGTAGTGCAAGTATTCTCTGGACCTAAACTGGAGCATTTTACTACGTTGAGTAAGAGTGAGAGAAGTCCTGTTTCAAGGTATTTTACACAGATTTTGCAAGTTCTTGTTAATTTTTTTCTCCGGTAACAGTTATTTCTATGTTCTCATCTATGTAATATTATTATTTTACCTTAATTGATTCAGTAAAATGTGGGAGAATCTATCTATTTAAATCGACAAGTTTTGAAAGGTGTACTCTTTGGAGAACACAAAAATTACACAGGTGTTCTTCACATTACAAATTGCTTTGACATTATCTCCTTAATTGTTTATAAGAACACCAGTTAATAATACGAGCTGCCTTCAGTCTGCAGTCTGACCATATCAAAAACATGAAACTCATGTCATATCACCACCCACCACCATAATCTTATTTTTCGTCTCGTATTTTGCCCCTCGCCATCGACAACTGCTGTTTATTATCATTATCTAAAGATGCCCTGACTCTTTTATTTGAAACATTTCATTATGTGACTTCAGTTTACTCCTGATAGTAGAAACATTTTACTGAAAATTTCCCAGAACAATCAAGACAGTTTAAAACTTTAACATGTTGCTATATGTATGTTGTAAGTTACATGTTACCAGTGTTCATTTGTTTGGTAATTTGTAGGTAAACAAACGGTCACCAGACTTTCACACAAAACATGGCTCAGTCCTGAAGTTGGTGGATATGAATTTTACAACACTGAATGTGTTGTTGCACCAGGAGTCGCTCTTGGCTCTCCTTGAAGTGTCCAACTCTTTCCAAAGTCGGCTGGAGAAGGCACAACAGAAGCCTTTACAGGACCGTGTCGTCACTCAGCCGTCTCCTACGACAGTACCTGTCAGAGCTCCACTCAGCATCATTCCAGAGGATGAGGCTGTAGAATCAGAGCAAATCAAAACAAGTATGTCATTTGCCTCCCTTTTAAGAGTTAGACATAAAGAGAATGAAACCTGTCTGAGAGTAAGACATCGTGAATTTGCTTTATTTTTGTCCTCTTTAGGGTAGAGGAAAGGGGCCTATAAGATGTGATGAAAACAATAATGAATCAACCATTGTCAGTCATGTAGAGAATTCCGTTGTTTAAATACTTTTATGAAGGGTGAGGAAGTAAGAGAAACGAAGGAGCTTCATGTTTGTACTCTTTATCACATTGTTAGCTTTATGCGGTCGAGAAGGATGACACAGGCCTGACATTAAGCTCATATGAGGAATGAGAAATGTATAGAAAATTTTAATTGGAAAACTTGAAGAGAAGAGATCACTTAGAAAGGCATATTTTGTTTTTCTTGAGATGTTTTCATTTCTTGTAGGTTTCTGTAGGAGTAGAATATTAAAATAAAATGGATCTTACAAAAATATAATAGTGTGGACTGAACGAAACTGTTCCAGTTGATATGTTGAGGGTCTGTCGGGTTTTGAAGGACATGGTTTCATGAAGTTTTGTTAAAATTTAGTGTAGTTTTCAAAATTGTGTATGTATATTTCTATTCTAATATGTATAATGGAAGCAGAGTATTTTAGGTATGTACTTTTTACTGTGGTATCCACTTCATATTGATTATACAGGAGAGTAGTTGATGAACATGTGAGAAAATATGGCTTCACGTGAGTACAACAAAATAAGCGCGTGGTAAGTGATATTTCAGTTTGCATTTCTGGCACAACATATCTGCTAACTTTCCTAAATTCACTGGATTCAGAGATGTCTGAGGGAACGTGTTATGGAGCCTGTGTGGAAAAGAAAATCCACGTCATGTGATACTGGTTTTATCTGTCTTTTTTTAAGAACAAAAAAGGAGGAGAAGGAAGTCTGTGCAAGAGATTGATTTTAAGTTGACTGCGAACCTCGAGTATTTTAGCGTTGAAATTGGGAGCAGAAAGTCGAAGATCGCAGGCCTACTTGTGAAAGGGGCTGTTGCCGGTGTGGTAGTCAAGAAGACGAACACAGTCATCACTGCTAAGCTTAAGGACATAGTAATCAGTGACCCCAACCCCATAACAATTCACCCGACTGTAAGTAATCGATTTATAATGCTTGATGTGAGATTGTTAGAACTAGTGTCTTGGTTTGGCTTACGATTGTTATATAATGTTGAAATTTGCCACTACTGATGTCTTCTACTTGTATATAACATTTTCAGTCACACATCTATCTGGAATATATTAGAAAATAAATTACTGCAATAAGGTGGGAGGTTGAGAGAAAGAGATATGAAACTTTGGCACCATTGGCTGACCAGAACAGGAGCAAGAGACACTCTCTAGTAGTCTGCCTGCAAACTAAACTTTGGTTGTTAATGGCACTTGCTTTGCGTAGCAGAATGTGATGCACCACCTCAAATTCCTTTTATCTGAGATTAATTCTCTCTGGATTAGGCACATGGAAGTGTATGAATTGTCCAGTATGACCTGCTGTAAAATTTGTCCACTTCTTATCTGATCATATATTCTTCATTTTTTCCTATTTTAATTTGAATGAGAGTCGGTGAACACACTGATTTATGAGGTTGCCTGAGTTGGTTACGAACTTGTCACTTTTGGATGGCTCATTTTTGTTATATTTACAGATCTTGTCGATCATGGGACAGGAAGCTCTGTCGGCACAGGTTGTGCTGTATAACGAGGCTGAACAAGATGAAGCTCTTGTGGAAAAGGTGGACATGTCTGTGCAAGCAAATATGGCTTGTCTGCGTGTTGTCTTTCTTAACTGGTTTGTCAGCAGCTTGCTTGTAAGTAGTATGCTTATTGTGTTAATTTTTTAATAAGCGTGTTGAAACCATATTTTCTCACAATTATAAGTTCAAGGTTTCTAAAAAAATGACTGAGTTTTTGTGATAAATGTTTTTATAATTGTATAAAATACCATGGAGGGCTTAGTAATTCTTAACAATTTAGTATTTTTTAGCTGCAGCTTGGATTAAAAGTATACTGAAATGTATGTATAAAGCTTGATAATTCCTGCTATTTCTTGTTCTTTTATAGAACTTCCTAAATTCCTTCCAACGAGCGCAGAAGGCGATTGTGAATGCAGCGGCTGGTGCAGCCGAAGCAGCAAAGCACAATATGCAGGAAGCATATGAGAAGGCAGTCAAGTTATCTTTAGACATTAAGTTACAGGTACTGGATTTTACATTCGAGGGACATGACATGTAATTTTCTTAATTGTTTATTATATTGTAGTAATTCATTTTAGCGTAGATTACTTGTTGAGATGAGAAATGCATGCAAAATTTTAACATGATTACTGCGGCCTTACTAAATATTTTGCTGGCCCCCAGAAACCGGTGTATTCTTTTAGGGGTTTATTAGTGATATATTGTGCCAGATGATACTGTTGTATTTTAATTTTCTGGAAAAGAACCTTCAGAGTGTACCGTGATGCATGCGCATCAGCAGCGCTGTTAAAGCATAGAATTTGATGGTGGCTGGTATTCTATGCCGATTAATGCACATGCGCATTTTTCATTTATGGAGGTTGTAGAATATTACATATTCCATAGAAATAAATATTAATTTCCGTTGTTGGGGAAAAATGTTTGTAACTAAAATATTTATTAATTGCTGAAGTTGCATTATATCTTAATTGCGTCATGTTTGTGTTATATCAATACATATATTTATTTTTCCAGTCTATACACAAAACTTGTTTTAAAATAATGTTGTTAAAATTATTTATAACATTTACAATATAAATTGCATTATGTTATATTTTATGGCGCTTTTCTGTGTCGTATAATATTACATTTATCACAGCGCTTTTGATTTCGACGACATGTTTCGATGTTTACCACATCATCATCAGGCTTATCAATTCATATATTTTTAAAAACTATTGTACATTTGTGCATTGCGTTTATTGATTTTTAATTTTCAGTCTTCATCTTGATTTGGAGTATGCATTTTGATGTTCATTATCAGGTTGTATTGTGATGTGTCGGACGTCTGATATCCACAGACGATAAACTGCAACTCTATTGCATTATGCCTTTGTTAGAATAAGAATTACCTTCACATTTAAAAATGTAGTCACATTTGGTAATGTCCTAATTAAGGAAACTGTCTAAATCATGGTTCCAAACAAAGTTGAGGTTTTTAGGGCACAGGAGACAATTTTTTTTTTCCCAGCAATTTTTATTTGTTTTGTTGCTCAGGTAACTTGGATCTTATTGTTGTAGTAGAGTATGCAGAGTAGATGTCGAATAACAGAAAGTCAGAAATGGAACTGCTGTTGCTTTTCTGTACAGCGCACTTCTTATAAAACTGCATTTTTTATTTTAAAAGTCACTATTGATTTCATTATCACTGGAATCGCTGAATTCATTATTAATATTGTCCAGTATTCATTCTCATGGATATAAAATTGCATAATTTGTGCAAGTTTTTACTGCAACACATTGTAGTATCTTTGGTCACAGATGAATCGAAGTTGTGTTACAATAATCATTATTTTATCTCACATGATTTATGGATTCAGAACAGCACTGATATAAAAACCAAATTCACACTCAAAAATCTTTGAAATTTAATCTGAGTGGCACTGTAGGGAGAAATAGTTAATTGTAGTGCTGGCCAGTTCAAACGAGTGGAGCCATTGCTATTAAAATGTTCATATGAGTCATTAGCACCTGGAGATGGAGCTGTGTGACTGTGTCCATAGGAAATCCTGAAGGAGAGTGCCTTATTGGGAGACCTAGGCACAGAAGGGAGTATAGTACAATTAAAAATAATTGGAAAGAAATAGATTGAGTGGATTTTCTTGACAGTTGAGCTACTATGGGCTTCTCAAGAAGGAATTTGCTCAGAGTTACATGTATGAGTATGTGTGTAGATGGGAATAAAATGGTGGAAAGTAATGTCTTGTTACTTTTGCTAAGATGTTTACACTTTATGTGGGTTGTCTAAAGTAAAATATAGCAATCAATTATACAGATTTTCCCGGCAACAGTGGTTAGCACTTGTAATTTGTATTTGGAATGTCCTGGGTTAAAATGTTAGCCTGGAGACCAGCTGTCTTTATTGAGGTTAAATGGGGGTTTTACTGTGTGTGATTCAGACTGAATACGAGTCAGATTTTATCAATGAATAGTGTATCATGTGAGTCTTGAGTTATATTTGTCTGAATCCCATCAGTAAAATTTTTATTTGAAAGAAATGTTGTAAACGTTTGTGTAAGAATTTTGTTAGAATTTTAACCTACAATTTTGATGTTTCTATGTGCAGGCCCCAATCATAATCATTCCTGTGAACTCTCGGAGTCGTGATGTACTGATTATGGACTTCGGTAATCTCACCATGTACAATAAGTTTAAGACTTTGAAAATTTACAATTCTGCAGGTCATCCTGCTGTGGTGGATGAGTTGAATTTGGATTTGCAAAATCTGAAGCTCTCCAGGTAACAGTAGTTAAAATTTGTTATATTTTAGTGGTGCATTGAGAATAGTAGGAACATGTAGTTGAATATTTTGTAGCAGTTGTTGTGATTTTCATATTCAGAAATTAAAATGAGAGTTCCCATGTTTTGAGTTCATTCAACAATTTATGTATGAAGTTGTGATGGAATCATACAGAGAATGTGTTATGAGTAATTTCTGTAGAGGGAACATTGCAGTGAAGTTAATATAATGAATTTAAATAGTATTACATAAGGAAATTTTTTTATAATCAATGAGTTACTAATAATTTTGCCTAATGATTGCTTAAATATATATTGATAATTACTGATGATCACATTTAATAATTATTTCTTCAGACACTATCCTCACATTGTTATTTATTATGTGAATTTGAATTAATTGTTAGTGGTTATTTAATTACCGGACTACCTTTTCCGAGTTTTAGAGCATCATCGGCCTTTGAAACTTTCTGTTACTGTAAACTTTGTCTTACTTCATGGTGTTGTTCCACAACCTTTTTGGATCTGCAGTACACCCTAATTGTCAAAATTTTGCCTCGTGAAGAGGGAGTATGAAACTGCAGGTTTATGAAAACAAAACATAACACATGTTGAAAAAACTATAAATGTTTAACTTGTACGTGTGAGCGCACGCGCACATGCACACAAGTGTATTTTTTGTGATGTGGATATGTGTGTGTATATGTATAAAAAGTTCTAGTTATGAAAGATTGTAAGATAATTTGTATCCTTTTTCTAACTATAATGTGCAAATTTGCAGTTACTTATAAAAGTTTTTGACTACACCAGTGTGCCTTGACACACTGGTTGCAGAAAATCTATTTTCTTTCTTCGGACTCTGTACTGTGTTAGATGGGTTGGGCTATTAATCATCATCACCATCTAATTGCATCATTCTGAGTACTGCGGTTTGGTCACGACTCTCATCTTGCCTTTAATTTTTGAGATGTCTGTCTCAATTAGTGCCAGTCCTACGGTGTTTCCCTGTCCGAAATTACGGAGTAGTCCACAAAATTTGAGGGATTTATGCCACTTCTCTCTGTAAGATGTCAGTTCTTTTAAAATCTACTGACATTTTACTCCTTTATTAATGTGACGTTTGGGTTCAGCTTTTGTTTGCGTGGATCCTCACTACAGACCTTATTGTTATACTGTATAGATATGCATATCACTTCTATTTTTATTCATTAACCTTTATGATATGGGAATCTTGGATTTAAACCCCCACACTAAGGAGCTGCTGGCTGGATTTTGGTGTTTAATGGTTTTGTTCTGTGCTGACGGCATAGGCCATGCCACGTGACTGGTAAATGTAAATAGCAAAGCTTTTGCGAGCAGGGCTTCTTAATTGTCACAGAATATGTTTGACCATTTTACAGTATGAATGTCTTGCCATTATCAATTGTATTAACAATTTTGTATATCCACAAATCTTTCTGCACAGGGCAAAGCTGGATAATGAAGCCAAGGATGTAATTAATGAAAGCCTTATTCTACAACCAATTACTTTTGGCCTGTTGATGCTGCGCAACCTCTCAGCTGGCTGGTATAAAGAAATTGCTGACATTGATCTATCTGGGAGACTGGAGAGTATTAATGTAAGTATTTGTTTCTTTACTAAACAATGCTGAACATCACTTCTGATTCATATTTGTGAGGTCTCACCTGAGATACGAGCTATACTGATGGAGGTTTTTTGTGGCTTTCGTGAGAACCTCTGTGTAAATACCAGGATAGTACCTGAAATTAAGCCGTGACTGCCTCCTTCCACATCTGTTCCATTTTGTCATTCAGTTTACTGTATTTCATTTCAGTTTAATTCTACATCCAACTTTCACCATCATGTCAACATGGCATGGCATGTTGTAACTTCCATTACTGATATTGTAGTGCCATAATACCTCATCCTGGGTGAACAAATTCTAACACTTGAGACTGGAAACATATCATTTGCAACAAAGTTTTTTTTCTCTTACCATTTTCCATATTTTGCCAAATAAGCAAGTTTCCTTATGGCCCCAGACCTGTTGTGACCCCCGAGTGTGTGTGGGTGTTTTATTTTACTAAGAAATTGTGTTATGTTAATAATAAGATTATTACTGCCCTTTACAGATGTATTTTTGTTACATTTGTTTTGAGGACTTTTGTTACTTTGTGACATATATTTGTATACTTTAATCTGCCGAAAAGTGTTTGATTGTTTATCTCTCTTTATTTCTGTTTCAGATAACACTTAGTCAAGAAGATTTCTCTAAGGTAATGCAGGTGTTGAGAGAAAACTTTGCTGAAGGTGCAGCGTTAGAACCCACAACTCCAGGTGCGACAGAACATGAAGTGAAGTTGGGTGAACCTAGAAAGTCGTTGGAGAGACCAAGCACTCTTGAAGGTATGTTAACAAATTTTTTGCTCCTGCAACAAGGGAAAATTGTATTAAAGGTGATCACTATAACAGACGGCACTATAAAATCATCTTCACTGACTTGCAAAAGTTTAGCACATCTGATAAAAATGACCATAATGGGACTTTATGAACCATTTTTATTCAGTTTATATTGTCATAAAATCATTTAAATATTGTAATGTGTGGTTTCTGAGTCTGTACCAGACGCCACTGAAACCATTATTTAAATTTCATCCACAACAGGAACATACAGACACACTTGTTTGATTGGAATGTTTTAAACAACCCTAAGATAGTATAGACAGAATTTAACTTTATCATACAAAAAAAATCCATAAGCAGGCAGTAAACAGTACTTAAAAGAAACAAAGGTGAAATTTTATGAAGTGCGAAAGTTTTAATAAACTTCTCAGTGTAATATTTTGCTCTCTATGGAACTAAATTCATAGGATATCAGATGTCTTGAAAAAAAAAATTATCTTCGGTTAAGCGCTGGGTTTATGTGCTGTTTATTTATGAATGAACTATTTTTTGAGTTCTGAAAAATGTTTCTTTTCCCACTGTATTTATTACTCCCGTGTATCTGTTTACAGTAATGAAGTACATCAGAAATGAACAAGCTGTTGACTTGGTGGACGTGTGGTAGTTGTTAGTTGAATACCCTAGTGTGAAGATGTTCTTACGAAGTATTTATTGCCTTTTCAGGTTTCAAACCTGTAACCTTGGATGTGGAAGTTGAGGACAGAGATAAAGAAAGAATGGCTACAGCTCCTGTTTGTACTTCAATCAAATTTACCTTCACAATGGAAAGTCTGATTGTGGATCTTTTCACAGGAGGTTCAAAGGAGGTAAGCGTATGCCATTTAATTAAATTAATTTTTTTATGGCTTGAAGGGAGAGATGATGTACAAACTGTGTGACATTTCAGAGGGCTGTTGTGGTTTATATCTAGCTACTGAATTGTACACTCTCCTTACTGTCTACAATTATTTTATTGTAAAAAAATTGCATTTGACTTTTATGTGGGATTAGGGTATTTATATCCTGTACAGTGGGTCTTACTGTCAGACTCCAACTGCACGTTTATT